GTTTCCTTCTAGGAACTTGATGTTTTGTTTTGTTTTTTTTTTTTTTTTGTTTTTGTTTTTTTTTGTTTGTTTATTTTTTTGTTTCTTTTAGTCATGGCTTTGTAAGGTATCTGTTTCACGTGTGCAGAGCTCTGCCTTTTGTTTTCTCTACCATGAAAAATGAGGCTAGTGCACGCTTGTGATGCCAGAACTTAGGCACCAGGGGTATGAGAAGGGCAAGGTTGTCTCAGATACAGAGTGAGTTTGAGGCCAGGTTCCACTTCTGATTTCTTGACACGTATGTGTGTTTTTGTGTGTGTGTGTGCGTGTGTGTGTGTGTGTGTGTGTGTGTGTGTGTGTGTGTGTTTGAGTGCGTGTTTGTCTAAAGTAGATGAAAGTCAGGCAGGGTGCGCATCTGCAGTTCCACAATTTGGAGCTGAAGCTGACTATACAGTAAGATCCTTTCTGATGCTTGTACACACACACACACACACACACACACACACACATCAGAAATCAGTAGTTTTAATAGTGCTTCCCAGAATGGGGTGGGTCTTCGTACATCAGTTAACCAAAACAGTCTCTCAGAGACATGTTTAGAGGCCATGGCCACATCCAGCCCGTTCCGAGGGTGGTCTTTCGAGGAATTTTTGCCATCCAGGGACTGGTCTTGATGCAGCTGGGCAGTCCTGTGGTTCCTTGTCTCCACCAGCTCTGGGGAGCGGCCTCTGTGCACATGTTCTTGGAAGGCTACAGGTACTAGAGACGTGTTAACAAAAAGAGATGTGAAGATTTGGTGGTTTTCAAAGTACCAAAGGCAGCGGGCAAGGGAAGTTGGAGTGAACAGGGGATGAATAAGCCACCCACCGGGGTGATAACACATTGCGTGTCACCACGTCACCCTCATTTTGGGTTCTGATCCACAATGGGGGTGGATCTGAGACTCTGGGTAGCCTGGAATCCCCCCCCACAATACCTGAGGCAAACTTAAGTTGCAAGCTAAGAATTTTTAAAAATGTTTTATTTTATGCATGGGTGTTTTTCCTGTGTGTACGGATGTGCACCGCATGCATGCCTGGTGCCCGCAGAGGTCAGAAGAGGGCGTCAGATCCTTTGGAACCGAAGTTACAGAAGGTTGTGAACCACCGTGTGGGTGCTGAGACCTACCTGCGTCTTCTGTAAGAGTAATAATATGTGCTCTTAGCCACCGGGTCATAGTTCTAGCCCCTAGAATTCTCTCAGTTGATTCAAAACGTTAATGTTTGTGATTACATAAGCGATATTAAGTTCAAACCGTAGTGCTCATAAAGTTGGGTCGGAACATAATCCTCAGGGCTGTGTTTCTAAGCAGAGTCCCTGAGAGTCAGGGCTTCCCATTTGGACTTGGGCCTCTCAGCTTGCCACAGCCTGCAGGGGGCAGCAGAGAAAAGGCCACTTACTGAGCGGGGAGACAGGCTGGGGGTTAGTAGAGAGTTATGAGGTAAGAGTCTGGGGGGGGGTAGACATGCCTGGAGAGGTAGCCCCAAGAGACCAGGTGAGTATGGCAGTGATTGCAGAGGAGAGGAGAGGTTGGGTGCAGCCCAGGTAAACCAGGCAGGCAGTAAGAAACGATAAGCTATCTGGAGTGGAAAGGGTGAGGGCTGTGGGGCGTGGAGGGGCCCAGGCAAGGCAAGAACAGAGAGGGACACTGTGGGGCTTGCGGTTTAGGGCCTTGGGTGATGGAATGATAGCATCAGATTTGGGGGTGTGGGAGAACGGAACCCTTGCGGGCTGTGCCTCGGGGCTGGGTGTCGCAGAGCCCAGGGGAAGGTAAATGGCCCATGAAGTGGGTGCTCAGAGCTCACTGTCCTTGCTTTGCCTGGGGTCCCCGTTGGTATGCAGCCATGCCGATTTTCTTGGCCTTCTTTCCTTGCCCTCTGCCCCCACGGCCACCATCACCACACAGGGCACGTGGCCGTCACTCAGTTCCTATCCGGACGTTGCCATCAAGGCAGCTCTTGGAGATGGGGCCTCCATGTGTTGCCTTCTGGTTTCTAGCTGGCAGCCTTTGGGCCAGGCCTCTTGTTCTGCCTTGGAGACGTGCTTCTTAACGGAGCAGCATATGGGGATGCTCCCAGTTTACTTTTAAAACACTTGTATGAATCCCCAAAGAGTACACAAGCACAGAGACTAAAGACATTTGGCCTGGGGTAGGACTCGGTTGATAGAGCCGGCCTCAACATGCAGGAGATCTCAGGGTTGAGCCTCCATGCTGCATAACATCAGGAGCAGTGCTGTACACCGATGAGTCCAGCGCCAGCCAGGATTTGAAGTTCAAGACTTGCTCAGTCTTTTTCATGAGCTCAAGGCTAGCCTGGGCTACACGAGACCCTGTCCCAAACAAAACCAGACAAAAGTCCTTTAGATATGATTTTTAAGATCTCTGCCCCTCTGGAGCCAGCCAAGCTAAAGACCTGGAGTTGGGGATACATCCTGATTTGAGGGTTGGGGCTGGGCTTGACATCAGGGTTTAACTCTGGATGTTATGTGTCCCTGCTAGAGGTGGCCCTACCTGTCCTGGTCATCTCTCTCTCAGCTTGTCCTTAAGTAACACTGGCACCCAATCTGTGCAACAAATTAAAATCTACCAAACAACACAAGAGCTCTCCTGCCCGCCCAGAGCCCCGGTGAGCCGGGCCGTGTGGAGGTTCTAGAATTCTCCTTGGGCTGCAAACCTACTACCACACTGCAGCCCCACCCACCCCTGTGTTGATAGCTAAGAGCCACCATGGTCACAGGAATGAGGACAGGCAGGATTTTATTGGGGGCCAGGGGTGCCGAACACCGGGAAACAAAAAGAGCTACTCTGGCAGGCGCAGTGTGGTTTAGGAAATTTTTAGTCACTCTAACTAGTAATAAGTAGATTACATTTGTAAAGAGATTAGCTAAAGTCATCGTCACAAGGGGCATTTCTATGCAGTGTTTCCTGGGGGAAGGAACTAGGGAACTTAGAGGGTTGTTTCAAATTTTCCAGATTTAGAAAATCTAATTCAACATCAACCACTAAAAGAAGTGGTCCCAGACATGACAGACATGATGGATTTGTTTGGGGGGGGGATGCTGTTAACAAGTTATTGTGTATGTGTAATGGTGTTAGACAGTGATTTTCCAGGGATGAAAGGCTGCACAATAATCCCCATCATCTAAATGATATGTTTGTTTTGCTATTTTTTATGTTATGGTTGTTCTGTCTGTATGTATTGCTGTACATACCACATGTGATGCTCACAGAGGCCAGAAGGCATCTGATCCCCTAGAACTGGAGTTACAGATGGCTGTGAACTGCCGTGTGGGTGCTGGGAATCGAACCCAGGTCCTCTGGAAGAGCAGTCGGTGCTCTTAACCGCTGAGCCACCTCTCCAGCCCTGTGTTTATTAATGGCATGTATGTGTCACGCATGTGCATGTATGCATACATGTGCATGAATGTGTAGTGATCAGAGAACAACTTGGAGGAGGAGTCTCTCTCTGTACCATGTGGATTTTGGGGATGAAGCTTGGTGGCAAATTTCTTCACCTGCTGAAACCATCTCGCCCAGCTCCTGTGCTCTGGCTTTTGAGCATCTCTGTCATACCGCCACCCCCAAAGGCTCTCTCTCAATAACCAGAAGTGATATTACAGTAATCTTGATTCCAGTGTTTGTGTTACCTTCCCCGTGCCCTCAGTACTGACTGCCTTTGACTTGTCTTCTCCCGCAGGTAAACATGAGACGGTGGGGTCAAAGCTCCTGCAAGCTTATCAGAGGCTGAGGTGAGTGCATAGGACGTTGTGTCCCACGTCAGCAAGAGCTCAGAGGACGTCCTGAAAGAACTCACGAGTGCCCGACCTCTGGAGCTCACCGTTCAGGAGCACGACTTTGAAAAATGTATAAAAATCTTGGAAAGGAGGGAGAGAGCGTCCAGATTTTCATGAGGAACCTTCTAGCTGTCCTGTTTTGTCTTTTCTTTCTTTTTTCTTTTTCTTTTCTTTTTTCTCTTCTCTTCTTTTCTTTTTTCTTTCTTTCTTTCTTTTTTTTTTTTTTTGATACAGGGTTTCTCCATGTAGCTTTGTAGCCCAGGCTGGCCTCCAACTCACAGAGATCCACCTGCCTCTGCCTCCGCCTCCCAAGTGCTGGGATCAAAGGCGTGCTCCACCACTGCCCAGCCCTGTCCTATTTTTTACACTCAATGTTTTCCCCCTCAGCTCTTCCTGAGATGCTGTAAAAAAATGAAATATCATTTTTGATTGTGCATCTGAGACAGTCTAAACAGATACGTTTATTTCCCTTCCTTTCTCTGGAGTCTCCCCTAGTGCCAGGCATCTACCTAACATATCCCCCTCCTCCTCTCCAGCATCATTCCCTTCCCTTCCCTCCCCCCCCCCCATACAGGGTCTCGCCATGCAGCCCCGAGGCCGGGTTATTGCTGTGTAGCCCAGGCTGGCCACGAGGCGCTGGCAACCCTGTCTGTCGCCCCAGCCTACCCAGCAGGCGTGTGGCCACATCTTCGTTTTACTTTATTTTCCCGTTCCCCGTTGGTTGGTTCTTCTTTTAGCTCATGCTTCCAGGGTTCCTCGGTGTTTGGATTTTTGGGTTTTTTTTCTTTCACATCTCGGCTCTTCTGCTGGTGTGGTTTGTACTAAGAATACAAGAGTCCAGATAGGACTCCACATACGAAGCCTGGGTCCAAGGGCAGCTCAGGGTGGGAGCCAGGGTCTCCTGGTGGCTTCAGGATGTGACGGGAAGTCGATACCTGGACGGAAGGCAGGGAAACCCTCATGTCCCTCTGAGAATCCAGCACACAGCACCTGCGCGGAGAGAGGCAGGGCCCAGCCCTGCTGCCGGGTCCTTTTCTATAACAGGAAGTTAGGCAAACAAAGCTAAGAGCTTGAATGATAAACTCACACGTTTGTAGACACGTAAGCTAGTAACAACGCGAAGTTCTAACCCAGTTTTGTTTGATTGTTTTGTTTTATTTCTCCTTGGCAGCAAAATCTCTGTGGTCCCTCCCACGCCACCACCGCTCAGTGAGAGCCAGTGCAGCGGCAGTCACGGCAGGGTAACTCATCTGGGTGGGACGCAGGGAAGGCAGGCCAGGGGAGGGTGCTGGAGAGAGGGGCCAACAGGTCTGACTTACCCGAAGCTGGAACGGACAAGCGATTTCCTTTGCATTCTGTTGCCAGAGAGCGTCTGCAATCCCAGCTGGCTCAGTCTGCTTATGCCCTGAGACTTCTTGTCCCGACCCTTGTCACCAGCTTCTAACCCTGACTCTGTAGTGTGCCTTTACGTGTGTGCGGGTCTGACATGTGTATAGGCAGGTGTGTGTGTGTGTGTGTGTGTGTGCGCGCGCGCGTGTGCACGCACACACAGTGCGCCTGTGGCAATGAGTCAGTGTTTGCAGGCTCTGGGTGCACCAGAACCATTCCTGTCCAAAGGGCTGAGCTGTGTGCCCTCAGAGTTACCTTGGGTTTCCACCTGAGAAGTGGAAATAATTCTTTGACTTGTCTCCCATGCAGGGTTGTGTCTGTGTGTGCTTGGAAACTGAAGTGCCATGGAATTGTATGGCTTTTATTATCTTTATCAATCTGTGCATTCGAGGGAACAATTATTTCTTACATGGGATAATTGACATGCCCATTTGAGAGACGAACATGTTTGTTGCTGTCCAGGTTCACAGACACCCTGGGGTGAACCCCACAATTCTTCTCTATTTTCTCCTGTGATTGTGTTCTGAGGACATATTTTTGGGTGAATGGCCGAATGCTGGAAGGGTGGATAGATAGATAAATAGATGGGTGGACAGATGGCTACTTGGGTGGGTAGACAGTTGTATGGGCTGATGGGAGTGGGCAAATGAATGGCTAGGGAGCGAGTAGGTGGACAAATGGGTAGTCAGATGGGTGGAGGGATAAATGCTTGATGGATGCATGCATGCATAGAAGCGTAGATGCATGGATGGATGCATGCATGCATGATTGTTGGGTGGGTGAGTGGATGGATACATAGAATGTTGAGGCAGGTGGATAGACAAGTGAAAACTGGATGGATGGGTGGAAGGCTAGACTGGACATTAGGTGAATGGATGTACAAATGTCTAAGTGGATGGATAGGTGGATGGGTGGGCGGGTGAATGGGTGGATAGATACAGATGGATGAGGAAGTAGTGGCTACATGAGTAGATGATGTGTGGGCAGATAGATGGATAGCCAGAGGATGGGTAGATGGATGGATGAGCCCTGAACAAAGTTACTGTCTTCCCTTGAACTCTGTCACCTTGTCCCTTACAGTGCCCTCAACCCCCATGCCACCTGCATTCTGTTCCTTCCGCACAGGATTTGTGTAGGGCTGGGAAAGGAGGTCAAAGAAGCAGCAATTAGCTGAGTACCATCTGTGAGCCAGTGACGTATCAGTCAGTGTGTCTAAGGGGGAGTTGTTACCTTGTCAATCACCGGTTGGTAATGCTCCTTCCTTTAATGAGGCCACAAAACACAGAGGAAGACGGCTGGCGGCTGGGGATGTCCATTTCCTGGGAGCTGTGCCCTGTCCCCTCCAGACACCCACACCTGCAGCCCTTCCCGCCCGCAGTGTTTGGGGGCTGGAAGCCTGGAGGCGGCGGTGGACACTGGTGGTGGTCTAACAGCTCATTGTCCTGTGTCTGTTTCAGTTACAGGAACTTGGTCACTTTAGAGGATTCAATAAGTCCGTGGAAAACTTGTTTCTGTCTGTCACCACCCAGATGAGAAGTAAGTGACATTCAGGATGTGTTCTTGCACCCTGCCCTGTGCGGGCCAGCCCAGGCAGCCTCAGATGGGAAAGCCATGGGTCAGCGGAGGTGCCATTTCAGTCTATCAGCCTCGCTCTGACCTCTGCTTGCCGTGCCCAAACCTGCCCAGCGCAGCAGCAGAAAGAATTCCAGAGGAACAAAGGCAAAACCTGAAAATCCCTTGCAATAAATCCAAAACCCTGGTCTTTCTGGCTGGCCGGGGGCCCAGTAGCTTTCTCTTGTCCATTCCTCTCCCTGGTAAACTTTCCTGCAGGTGGCAGTGATCCCCCAGCCGCAGGCGCAATTAACCCTTTGCATTGCTTTGGTTCAGATATGCTTTTACCCCCTTCTGTTTCTCGGGCCTCCTAAGATGCCCAGGCCTGGGCAGTGATAGACTGGGTCCAAAGGACCTCGGGCACACATTTCTCTTCCTCTCCTCTTTGCCTTCCGTTTACCGCCCCCTTCCTGTAGTTGCTTGCGATTGTCTTGTTGTTGGCTGAGCCAACTGTACAATTTGATTTAAATTAGTCGTCTGTGTTCCACACAAGCACCCCCCCCCCACCCCATCACACAGCCGTCTGAAACGAGCCCTGCTCTTCAATCAGCAGTGGGCTGTCCTGGGCCCTCCTTCAGGAGGAGGAATGGCTGCTTTTGATGAGCCTGTTTGCCCCTCTGGTGATGTCAGCTTGGCTGTGACAGTGGTCTGTTCTCTGCACAGCTGGTGCGGGTCCCAGGGCTGCCCTTCCAAATCAGATTCCCTCTCCAAGTCCACGTGGCCTTCGTGGATTCTCTGTTGCTGCAAAAAGCATAGCTCCCATTTCAAAGGAAATAAAAGTTTGTTGTGGAGACAGAGATGAGCGGCTCAGGTTACCCCAAATCCCACAGTGAAATGCAGGACAAGTTTCATGGAAATTTTGTGGTAATAATACAAGGAAAGTCCTAAGTCAGGAACACTTTTCAAATTCAGCTGGGTTGTGACAAAGCGGGGAAGTTAGACACCTTGGACGTTACCTGATGGCGCCTTAGCCTTTGGGTTGACGGAAGCTCCCAAAAGGATTTACCTAAAAGTCACAAAAGGGTGGCTGTTACGTCACATACAGAGGGAGACAATGAAGGGCTACTAAGGGAACTAATGATAGCCCGTGATGATTTAGCTCTGAACCTGTAACATTCCAACTCTCTACAGACATGTAATCAACCACCCTTGCAGAATCTTGAACACAGGTGACTTCTGTCTGGAAATTCTCATTCGCTCCCACAGCCCAGGGCTTCTGTGGAATCAGTGCCTCAGAATGAATCCCAACACTGAGATTCCCCAGCCACTAAAATCCAAAGAGGCAGGATACACCTGTGTCACAGGACATGTGCCCTCAATCAAGGCAGGTAGCCCTAAATGCAGAGGCATGCCTGAGGTAGCCTTGTCCCTAACCCGGCCCTGACACGTGAGACTTGTCCACATAGATGGGGTGGCCGTGGCACCTGTCCTCAGATAGGGAAGTCAGCTGTGACGTGCAGCCTCTATCCTTGGCCTGCCATCAGCCATAGGCAGAGACAGCCAAAGCCACCTGTCTGGGGCCCTGGGAATGGACATGTGGCATTTGTTGGTGCAAATTTCCATTTCTTTATTTCGGCGTCCTTGCTCTGTTTCCCTCAGAAGCAGGCACAGATGACAGCCCAACCTCTGCAGGGAGGAGGGTGAACTGTTGCCTGGAGTCCTCAGGGAGGGGCTTGTGAAGGGCCCAGAGCAGTTTGAGGACCAGTGGCCCAGGATGCTGACTTTGGTCTGGAACCACAGGGTTTGAGAATGATGACCCAGAGTCGCACCCTCTGTCTACCAATGTTATCCGACACACCTAGAGGAGATTCCAGTCCTTTATGAGGCCAGTAAATGTCGCTTGCTGGGCCCCCTTAGCAGACAAAGAGGGGGTTGAGCTTACTCCTCCCTGGGAGCGATATGTGTTTCTTTCTGCTCCTCCTCCCTCCTGTCTGCTCTCCCACCCCTCCCAACCCCCCTCGTCACACTTTATCCATTGTCATTTTAATGTGTGTCCCAAGCCAGCTCCTCATCCCAAGCAGTCCACAGAAGCCAAAAGGTTGGACACTATTGTGCTGAGAAATCCAGAGTTTAGGATCTTTCCAGGGCATGCTTACTAAAATAGTCACCAGGGCACCTCGAATCTCATCCCTTGCGATAGTCACAGGAGAAAGTATTTGGTCAGCAGTCTCTGTCGGGAACCCCTAAAAAGCCAGCTGCTGGTATCTGGGTAGGTCCTTGGTCACACGGATGGCCCTGTGTGACAGTGGCTGCCCACAGAGGCACGGAGCCAGTGTGGACGTTTGAAGGGGCTGGCCTTTCTGCTTCTCTGCCTCTGACACAGTCACGCCTTGCCTACCCATCTTTTTTGTCTTTCTGGCCTCAGGCTCTGCAAGTCTTGGCAAAGTTTCATGCTAGCAAGAGTCGCCCCTTGTGTTTGTTTTCTAGAGCTCTCCAAGTCCCAGAATGACATGACTTCTGAGAAGCACCTTCTGGCGATGGATCCCAGGCAGTGCGTGGTCCCCACGGAGAGGCGGAGTCAGTCAGACACAGCCGTCAATGTCACCTCCAGGGTAAGCACCGAGGCCTGTGGCCCTCTGCACCATCGTGTTGTCTTATCTGGGCTTTCCGGCACATTTTCCTCTGAATTCGCTGTCCTCTTGATAGAAAACCTTAGTCATCCAGGAAAACCCATGTAATCTGTATTCAGGCACATCTGACCACAGGAGGCGCAGAGTTTGAGATCCAAGCCAGATGCACCAGCCTGTGCCTGCATTCCAGTCATTTGGGAGGCTGAGGCAGGAAGTTTGTCTGAATCAAGGAGTTAGAACCAACCTGAGCAACAAGATGGTGATGATAAATCAAGATCACCACGGAGAACTGGTCAGACCCTAACCCGATCCCAGTCTCCCAAGGCTGCTTCTCCCTGGCTTCAGCGCCACACCCAAAACAGGCTTACCGCAGGACGGACCCGCCAATTTTCTGGGGTCTGCAAGTCTCTTCTCATGGGGAGGCCTTCCGACTTCCATTCAGGGTGAGGAGCCTTTGGTTAGGCTCTGCCTCTGGTGGAAAGTGAAAAGGTAACTCTGCACGTGTGAAGAGGCAGGAGGATGCCTCCTACCCTGGATCTAAAGGAGAGCTGTCAGGGAGGCCATCACAGCACCACCTACCCGGTGGGCTGTGCTAAGAGCAGGTGCACGGAACTCCAGATGGTACTGGCTTTGGAGTCCAATTCGTGGGTTCCAATCCAGCCCAGGACCTGACAGGCAGGTGCCAGCCCCTGTTTGCAGTCCAATGTGTCTGCTCTGCTGGGCTCATAGGACCCACCATGTCCCTCTTCTGTGACTGTTGGCTCCTTCCAGGATGTCCCCAGACTGTCCTTTTGTGACAGTAGTGATCTTAACTTTCCTTCTGGAACATGCTCTAGATCAGGGGTTCTCAACCTGTGGGTCACGAGGCAAACCTTTATCCTCCCCCAAAATATTTACATCGCAATTTATAACAGTAGCAAAACAGCGGTTATGAAGTAACAATGGAAATAATTGTATGGTTAGGGGTCATCACAACAGACTGTGTCAAAGGGTCTCAGCATCAGGAAGGTTGAGAATCCACTGATCTATAAATTTCAAAACCCACCTCCATCTGCTGACCTCCATCTGAGCCTAGGATGCCCCTTGGTAAAATGAAAACAACGGAATCTCTGTTTGCCCAGCATGGGGCTCCTTTGTGCAGCCAGAGAGGCAACGGAGCCTCTAATTTGCTGTCTATGTCATTTAGATAGAGCATTTGTTAGGATGCACTAGACTCTGCACAGACAGCTTTACCTGGACTGTCAGCCCTATGAAATGGGTGTTAAGTGCAGCCCTACTTTACACTGAGACATATATGAAGGCTTAGACCTACAGTTGCGTTCCTGGAGATGGGAATGCTGTGTTGGAACTGGCCCCATCTTGATTGGAGGCTGAACTATGGAGTTTGTGGCTGGAGGAGAGCCACTGGACTCTTGTTGAGGTGCAGACTCCCGCATGTGTGAGTCCTCACTGGGTGTGAGACGTGGAGTCCGATGCCTTTCTGCTGAGCTTCTGGTGCTAAGATGATGCTGATGGTTTTCCAATGACATGTGTCTCAAATATTTGAGATGTACTCAGCATGAAATTCCCAAGTGTAAACACATCTGCTTACTGAAGCCAACCTCTTCATCAAGTGGACAGATGGGGCCCTTTTTTAAAAGCCCTCTGTTCTGGGCAGATAATACCTTAGTTGGCTACCTAATCACAAGATAGACTTACTCACAGGACCATGATCAAAAACCTGAGCTTTACTCAGAGGCCACCCAACACATCCAGCAACTAGGGAACCGTGGTACCACGAGGAGAACCTAAGTTTAGATGTTTCTACTTTCTAGGCCACTTCTGTTTTTCCTGTGAGTACAAGGGAAGGTCTGAAGGAGGGTTCAGGGAAGGGAACTCCCAAAGTTGAACACTTTGCAGGTCAGTCTGATGGTGGCTCTGGCGGAGGGCTGTCCCCATGCCAGGCACCGTCCTCTGCGGAGGGTTTCATCTTTAAAGCCACCCTGAGGATTTGTCTCCATTAAAGATGAGGACACCGGGGTAAAGAGCTGGCAGAGGGCAGTGTGGTCAGGAGGAGAAGGCCAAGCCTACTTGGGGCGTTGCAGCCCTTCCCCCAGCTCCGCCATGAGAGATGCTGTCCCCTCACTTGAGGTGAGATGTGCCCTATGCGGGGTAGCTCACATTCCTCAGGCCTCACTGGTGGCATTCCGAATGCTGGTGTCACAAGGCATCCTTGGCACATCCCTCCCCTGCTGCGTGAGTCTATGGGGCAGAGCCTCCCAGGCAGGCAGTCACAGCCCAGGCACAGTCTGAGTTGTGAGGGATCCAAGCAAGGAAGTGCAGGAGAGGCCATGGATAGCTAGCCCTGCTGGTGTAGATTCCGGCGTGGTCCAGCTGGGAACCTGGTCTATCAACTGTACTCAACTATTTGGAATTGAATCCACCCCATGTGGTTAGTGGCTATTGATGAGTACAGCTGTAACATTATAGAAGAAATACTAATTATAGTAATTATTAGCAAAAGAATTAAAAGAATACACACTTTTTTTCTTTCTTTTTTTTTTTTTTTTTTTTTTGCTTTTCAGGACAGGGTTTCTCTGTGTAACAGCCCTGGCTGTCCTGGAACTCTCTCTGTAGGCCAGGATGACCTCGACCTTACAGAGATCCGACTGCCTCTGCCTCCAAAGTTCTGGGATTAAAGGCGTGAGCCACCTCCTCCCAGTAAGAATACATGCAATTTAAAGATGAAGTTTTTCCCTTTCTGGGGACACATTAGAAGTAAAATTATCAATATGAATAGTGTATTTCAAGTGATTGCATGTCATAGTCATTATTAAAGCCAGATTGTAAGCATTTTAGCACTTTGTGTAACCCAAGGTAGCTCACCTGTCAATGCTCACAACGTCCCCTAATGATTCGGCCTCAGCGTCCTGCTGGTGTGTGGGGTGAGTGCATCAATCCACACACAAGTGTGTCTTCCTACTCAGCTGCCAGAGGTTTGTGTGTGAGAAACATCACTTCACAGACGCAGGCTGCGTTTTCTGGCCTCTTCAGTCCCGTGGGGATGTGGGCTATGATGCTTGTTGTTACTCTCTTCCAGAAGGTCAGCTCACCCGATATTCTGAAAGCGCTCCATCAAGAAGACCCCAAACAGCCTCCCAACACTGTTTTGAAGCAAGACACCCTCCCATCCAGTCCAACACACAGCACTGTCTTCTCTGGAGGCCCGAGACGCGTGAGTCTTTGTCCTAATATTCTCATCCGACGTGTGGTTCTCAAGGCATCAGGGACGCGAACTATAGCTCAGTAGTTGACGCAGACACAGCATGTGCACAGCACAACTGTTGAATCCCCAGCGCCAGGGGAGAAAAAACAACCAACCAGACATTATCCAGCTGGACTGGCAGGTGAGGCACAGCGCACTGGGTGAGAGCCTCCCCGTAGGCTCGTGTATTTCAATGCTTGATCCTCAGCTGGTGGAACTGTTGGACAAGGTGCATCACTAGTGGCAGGCTTTTTTCAAAAGCTCACGTCTTTCCCAGTTCCGGCGTAAACTCTTGGGCTACTGTTCCAACTCTGTGCCCGCCTGCTACAGTGTCCCCCGCTAATGATGGCCACGGGCTCACCCTCTGAAGCCGGACCACCCCCCTCCCCCACTAAACTTTCTTCCATAAGTTGCCTTGGCCATGGTGATAGCAATAGAGAAGTAGCTAAGGCCCAAGGGGAGGAATAGTGTTGTTGCACGGTCAACACTGGCGTGTAAGAGTGGAGTGTGGATGTGAGTTTTCACGTAGATCTGGAGCTAGGGAACCCCTCAAAATGTGTTGAAGCTATCCACCTATGTTAAAACATCATCTTGTTGAGGACACTTTATGCCTTCAGAAAGTCACTGGTGATTGTGCTGGTTTTTGACAAGTGGACACAAACTGGAGCCATCCATCCGCCTCCGTCAGACCGGCTCAAGGGCAAGTGTGTTGGGCGTTTTCTTGATAGATGATGGGAGGAGGACCCAGCCCTTTGTTGTTGTTGTTGTTTGGGGGGAGTTGTTTTTTTGAGACAAGGTTTTGTTATGAGTAGTTTTTCCCCTGGCCGGTCTGGTCCCACTGCCGCACCAGCCCCAAATAACACTCAGAGACGCCGTGTTAGATATAAAGCTGTTGGCCAGTTACTAGTTTCTTATTGGCTAGTTCTGTCTTAAATATTAATTCATTTCTATTAATCTAAGTATTTCCACATGGTCTCATCTTACCGGAGAGAGGGGCTGGCGTTCTTATCTTTCCGTCTTCCATCTTGCATCTCCTTCCTACTTCTTCCTCTCTCCTCCCTTTCTCCTAGTCCCGCCTATCTTCCTTTCCTATTGGCCATCGGTGCTTTATTCATCAACCAATATGAGAAACATATTTACAGAATGACATCTCCCATCAGGGTTTCTCTGTGTATCTCTGTCTGTCCTGGAACTCACTCTGTAGACTAGGCTGGCCTCAAACTCAGAGATCAGCTTGCCTCTGCCTGCTGAGAGCTGGAACTAAAGGCGTGTGCTACCACCTCTGGCTTCTAGGAAAAGTTTTAGGATTTATTTTGTTTTGTTTGAGACAGGGTCTCTGTGTTTAGCCCTGGCTGGCTTAAAACTCACTGTGTAGACCGCACTGTCCTGGAACTCACAGAGAGATGCCTGGCTATGCCTCCCAAGTTTTAAAGTTTGATGGTCTCATTTATCAAGATTTTCCTCTCTGGGTATTCCTGTGGTTTTTATCTTCATGGGCTGTGAAGACAGTGTCCTGTTTTGTCTGCAAGTTTTAACTAGAATTGTCTTTAATATTTCCATCTGTACTCTGACTCCTCGTTTGGTAATGATGCACAGGTTGAGGCTAATGTTATGTGGCTATTTAGTCCAATACAGCATCCCTTGTTTTAAAAAGACGGTCTGTCCCCTTGGTCATTTTGTCCCGTCACATCTTATGAGCATGGCCCATGTTCGGGAATTTGTTACCCTGGTCACTAGACCGATGCTTACACCAAGACTGCCTTGTCTTGTTTGTAGCTTAGCTGTAAGTTTGGAGGCATGTTTCATTTCTTTTCCTTTTATTTCCAAGGTGGCTTCGTAGTGTTCGAAATCTGTTCCATTTCTAGACTGCATTTGTAGCCACCTGTCCACTCATTTACTAGAGCAAACCTAACACTTCTGATGCCCAGACTTGTGATGCAGGAACGGTAGTTTTGATTGGTTCTGTGTTGCTATCACAGAACACCACTGACTTGGTAATTTGAAAACCATAGAAACATACTTATGATTCTGGAAGAAGGGTTTCCAGGATCAAGGTGATGGCAGACTCAACCTGTTAAGGGCCTATTTCCTGCTTCGAGCATCTCCAAGCTTGGGCATCTCCAAGCTTCGGGCCCACCTGGGGGGAAGTGGTGAGGGGGCCCCCTTTGCTGTTTTATAAGGATGCTAAGCCCATTCATGAAGGGTCGACTCTCATGCCATACCAATCTCCCCGTATCATAGTTCAGGGCTCATGTCTGAGGACAGCTCAAAACCCAGGGCTGTTTGTGTCTGAGAATAGTCTAGAAAGATGAAAGGCAGGAGGGCTTTTCCATGAAGATAAGGTGGGCAAGACTGGCTCTAGAACCTTCTTTCGGTGTGGATTCCTGTGGTGGGCTCAAGGCAGTGACAGTGGCCTGGGGGCAGGGAGACTCAGAATGAGCCGGCATGAGCTCAAAGGGACGCCGATCCAGGAGAACAAGATGGAACTCAACTTCTCAGAGAGCCTGAGGGCTGAGCCTGCACGGTTCCTGGCCACCCACCGGTGTCGGCTCCACGTCCCTCCAGGAACCCAAGTCACCTTCTTCCAGTTCCAGAACCAACACGTCTCTAAAAACACTTGAGAGAGTGCACAGGGTCCTGTACAGCCTGCCTTTATCCTGCTTTATCCTTATCTGCTTCCCTGTTCCATGGTTCCCTCCACTTCACCTCATGGTCACTCATGGCTTCTCGAGCCCTCGGACACACAGGCAATCCCAAGCCACTCCGCCTTCTGTGAATTTCTGTTTGGAGGCAGAGCTTCTTCTCAGGGAGCTCTCTGTTCCCTTTTCACTCACCTGCTCCAAGCTTATCAGATCCCCAGCATCTCTCACCCCCCCACACCCCTGTCCACTTCACTTATCTGCCTTTTATCAACTGCTCACCAGAATGCAATCCCCAAGTCCCCCCGAGCTGCATCTGACACTCAAGTGACCCTTGCTAAACACCAGATGACTGGGTCAATCACCCACCACAGCCATCATGCTCTGAAAGCCAGTGCTGATGGCTTCCCGTCGCATACATTCTCGTGTGACCATGTGGTGGCCACTGTTAGTCCATTTCACAACTGAGCAACCTGAGAGGCCAGGGGTCACGTGGTTTACTAGAGTCCTACAGGGGCTGCAGAACTTGGGGTCAGTTAACCCAGGGACCACAGGGTATCGGGTATGACCCACAAGCTTGTTGAGCTCGTTCATGCATGAACTGGTTTTTCTTATTTAAACCGCCCTTGTTTCTTCTCTCACTAGCTGATCCCTGCCTGGAAACCCTTCAAGAATTAAGGTTGGGCAGAGGGAAATAGCTCAGTGGGTGAAACTGTGATCATGGCATCCGGAGATCAAATCCCTGGAACCCTCTAAAAGCCAGATGCCATGGCATGGTTTATAACCCCCAATACCCCTGCAGTGAGATGGGACGTGGGCACATGAGAACACCCCAAGAGCTCAAGGCCAGTTAGCCTGGTATAAATACAGTGGAAGGTAAGGACGCTGACACCCAAACTTGTCCGTCAACGTTCATTTACATGGGCACTGAGGCATGTGTGCCTTCATATGAACATGTATTCGTACGTATACGTGTGCATCAGATGAACAATTTAGGTGTTTTAAGAGGAGTTAGGGCCATACCACTGAGCTAAGCTAAGAAGGAAGACATTGTGGTGGGCCTCTCTCTCTCTCCTTCAGATTTATGACGATGAGATTAGATTGACCTTAACTGTAATGTCTTCTTTTAAAACAAAGCAGTAGTTGCCTAAAGGATTTAAACTCCCATAAGGCAAATAACCACCATGTTATTTCTTGCCCAAAGATGTTGCCTATTCCTTCCTAGAGAAATCCACAACTCTGAGAAACAAGGAGTTGGGCAGCAAAAACTTGTGAAATCTCCCCTTACACATAGAGACAGGGAATAAACAGAGACAAATCATCTGACCTCCCAAGTAGTGGATTCAGGGCAAAATTTAAGCAGAATACTATTTTGGGATGATGTTAATAACGTCTAAAAATGCAAGGCTAGGGCTCAGAGCAGCAGGCATCTGAAACCCACATGGTAAATGGAAATTGTTAGAGTTTCCCTGGAGATACATGCACATATTCAAAAGCCTTGAAGGATCTGCTTCTACGAACAGGGCTCTGTGTGTGCGGAACCCACCCTTTGCCACTGGGCCATACTCCTGACCCTGCAGGCTCTCTTGCATAATTTAGTAGACCGGACGTATTTCTGAAGAGTGTCCTAAATGTTGCCCACATGTGCATATGTGGATATCCAGGGCGGCTATGTTTATAATGGTTCTAATGTTGGCAGCGACCAAACAGAAAACGAGCAAGCTGTGGTTCACATGCACACAGAATGCCTTCAACTGTGTAAACAGCAGAATAGGGCAGAACATTTGGGAGGGGTGCTGATATTACTGATGAAGTTGGTTAGCATTTGTTTGTTTTTAATTGCGTGTGTATATGCATGCTCATGCGTGTGGACAGAGGCATGTACCTGTCATATCATGTGTGTGTCAGAATAACCTCAGGTGTCATCGTCACCTTGTCTGAGACCGGATCTCTGGGTCTCTTGTTTCCACGGCTTACGCTTGGCTAGTTGGCCCGATGGCTCCCAGGGACTCTCCCGTCTCTGCCCGTAGGATCACTGAGGCCATAGTTGTGCTACTGTGTCCGGCTTTATGTGGTGGCGGGGTTTAACCTGCTGAGCCCCGGACCCAGCCCCGAGGCTCTTTTTCTTAACATGGGGGCGGGGTTGGATGTTATTCTCACAGCTATTTTACCTACTCTTGTGTACCACATGTGCTGTTTAAATGCTGTGTTCGTTTCGCAGCCAAGAAAGAGGCGAGGACAAAGGGAGAGAGGTTCACCCAGCTTGCAAAGGGCCCCGGAAGGTGCGGTGCGGAGTTCCCCTGCAGACAGTACACTCTGGGCACTGCCCACAGGCCGGGTTCTGAGCCTTTGTGTTTTTATAACTGACTGAGCTGACTCAGCCGTATGAAAGGGAACTGAGGGAAGCGTGCTGGGGATCACACAGCCAGCAGGGCTGGGGCCAGGACAAAAGTCGGCCTTTCACCCACTTTGTAGCGCTTACCCATGTGTTCATGCCTAACCCAGTGCATTACCTAGGAAAAAAACATAGCTGTACGTTTCCTAGTTTTTACGCCTTTGTGACAAAGCCATAGGCCCAGGACTCCGCTTGAGGTGACGGTAGATGACCTGGTGACCTTCAGGGTCTGTCAAAGGCAGACAGCACCAGTGGCTGGCAGGAATCGGGTCTGGGTGGCCCTTTCAGGCCAGAACCTTTTGTCTGGCTGGAGTTCCTGGTCCAGTTTGCAGCTTGCTCTGAAGTTCTGTTCTGGCTCCAGGGCAAATAGAACTGAATCCCAGACACGGAGCTGGCCTCCGGTTATCAGCCACTGCCAAGGAGTTTCCAAGGAGTTTCGCAGGGAGGGCAAAGTACTTCTCCCGGGCTGAGTTCTAGGCAAAGGGCCCTTTGAGGGGTTTCCCGGTCCTGGGCCTTGTGCATTGTAGGGAAGTGCTTCGCCACTGAGCCCCAGAAGAAATTCTACTGTAATGACTAGAGTGCTTTAGCTCCTCCTTTCCTCCTATCCGTCCACCTCCTCCCTCTCCCAGGCAGCTCACTTTCTTTCCTTCTCCACATCTTCTCCCTCGTCTTCATTTTATTCTTTCATTCATTCATTCATCATTCATTCATTCTACAGTGTTCTACCTGCATGTTTGCCTGCAGGCCATAAGGGGGCACCAGATCTCATTACAGATGGTTGTGAGCCACCATGTGGTTGCTGGGACTTGAACTCATGGCCTCTGGAAGAGCAGCTCTTAACCCTCTGAGCCACCTCTCCTCCTTGTCTTCATTTTTAACCTTCGCTGTGTCTCACTACCTCTCCATCCCGTGTGTCTTTGAATGTTTGCTGGCTTAAAGTTGTTTCCCGTTCCGACTGCCATGTGGTTTGGTCGGAGGACGTCTTCTCTTAGGCTGGGTGTGGCGGCGCTGGCTGTATTCTTGGCGATAGTTAAGGCAGCTTCCAGGTCCTTTGGTTTGGGCTTTATGCCTCTCTGCCAGCTAGTGCTTTGTGCTGTGGACTTTCTTGGTTTCTCTTCGGGGGGGGGGGGTTCTACAGAATGGAGGCTGGAGGACCCTCGGGTATTAGAAGGAGAAGTTATTCAGCCTTCACTCTCCCTGTAAATTCAGCACCGACACAAACTACTCACAAATAGTGGCCGTTGTTTAAGCAAATTTAATAGCAATGGCTTAACCTTTTAGGCACAGGCATCCAGTGATGCAGACCTCATGTACCGCTTAGGCTTAGAGTGCTCTAATATTTGAAGGTAACTTCTTTTATATTTTAGGCGCCCATAAAATTTAAATATAATTTACTGTTCTCTTTGCACAATCCGCCGCATAAGTCATTGTGTTTAGTTCCTCTTCGTAACTCTGAAGTTGCTACTATTTTTCTCTGTTAGACTTTGACACCGCCAGCAAGTAGCGGAGTTAGCCCTGGAGCCAGTTCTCCCTGATTCTAGCCTCGGCCGCTTGGTCTCACATCTGCTGCTGTACCCACACCGTCCAGCCGTGGATGCCATCTGGCCCACGAGTTATGTTTACAGAAAGGCACATGAGCTAGTCCACTTACCCAATGACTCACGGTGAAGACTTGGGTAATCTTTATCGCCAGGCAGAGACAGGAGGAGGCAGGGTCTGCTGAGGATGCCTCATGGCCTTAGCAGTCAGCAGATGGCAACCTGGGTTAGCAAAGTGCATGAGTGGGCTGCATCTATCAGTTTAACGGGAGTCAGGATGCATTTAACCATGTGAACCGTGATTTACCGTGAGAGCAGAAGTGCAGAATATTAATGTGAGTTAATTGATTGTGTCTGCCATTGATTTCAGGGGAGCTTAACTAGTATTAACAGCACCTGCACGGAGATGGGTAATTTCGACAACGCCAGTATCACAGGAGAAATAGAATTTGCCATCCATTATTGCTTTAAAAGCCGTTCTTTAGAAATACACATCAAGACTTGTAAGAACCTCGCCTACGGAGAAGAAAAGAAGAGAAAGTGCAATCCGTAAGTTGTTGGTGTTTGCTTTGTTTTAATTAGTCTGGCATCGGGCAGCTGTGGTACTTGATGTGCGGCTGATCCAACGGTAAAGACTGGTCAACAGAGAATCAAGGTCGGGCTTTGTAGACCTCAGCACGTATGGGAATTTGGATGCTCACGGGGTACTTTAGACCATTTGAGTTGCTGTAACAGATGGCTAGAGACTGGATGGGTAAGAAACAGCAGACATTGGTCCTCACAGTTGTGGATGCTGCGAGGCCCAGGTTCTGCCAGAGCTGGTGTCTGGTGAGAGCCAGCTCCCTGGTTCTCAGATGGGCATCTCTCTGCCTGTCATCACATGGGAGGATCGGGGAAGGACAGCTCCCGGAGGATTCCTTTATAAGAGCACAAGTCCCATGCCCGAGGGCCACCCTCACACCTAAGCCCCTCCCCAAGTCCCCGCCTCTAAGGAGTCACGTGGGAGTTTCGAAAGAAGAGTTGAAACTTTGGGGCTTACACGTTCAGGGTGTGTCAAGGAGCTGTAGCAAGTCGGCACAGGGGAAAGTGACTGTCTATAAAGGCTATCGGAAGTTTAATTATTTCATACAGGAAGAGCAAAGTTAACATCTCCCTTCACACAGTTCACGAATAACTTTTCTGAAGTTTGTTTTTTTCTTTTTTCTATATGAATGTCTTGCCTGCATGTATGTGTACCTTGTTGCTGTGATAAAAGACGATGACCAAGGGATCTTACAGTTTCCGAGGGTTAGAGTCAATGATGGAGAGTAGGAGCCAAGAGCTGACTTACCAACCCACGTCCACATAACAGAGAGGGAGGATGAGAGGGGCAGGGAGAAACTGCCTGCTGGAGACTGGGATTGGCACAAGTCTTTGGAAAACTCAAAACCTGCCCCCAGTGACACACCTCTTCCAACCCAGCCACATCTCCTAACCCTTCCCAAACCCTGCCACCGACTGAGAATCAAGTATCCAAACACACGAGCCTATGGGAGCCATTCTCTTTCAAAACACCAGAAAAGGAGTGTTGGGTCCCACAGAACTGGGGTGGGTGCTGGGGACTGAGCCCTGTGGCAAGTGTTCTTAACCAGTAAGCTGCCTCTCCAGCTCCAGCCTCTCATAAAATTTTAAAAGTTTCCCCCAGTGATATAATAAAAATATTTAAAGGCGATAAACTGAGATGAGCAATGTTCCCACAGTGGCGTCAGCCACTTGGATTTCCCCTGTGGGGAACTTTCTGTTCATATCTTTGGCCCGTGGTTTTATTATTAATTTATTATTGTTGTTGTTGTTGTGTATGTACATGTACATGTGTGTGCAGGTGCCTGTGTGTATGAAGCTAGAGACTGACTCAGGGCCTCGTTCATGCAGAGCACATCCTCTGCCACTGAGCTTGCATCTCCAGCCCATCCCCAGCCCTTGGCAATTTGTCTCTGGGTGCAAACGATTAGGCCTCAGCCCTTGTGCGTGCTGAGCAAACTGCACTGACTTCAGCTCTAGGGAAAGGTCTTAAAACCCTGCTTAAAGTAGGGTTTGAAAGTTCTGCATCTGCTGTGTATCTTTTGCATCACCTACTCCAGCTACTGCTGCTTTTCTGGGTTATTTGTGATGACTTTTCTAGGGGAGAATTTGATGTGATAAAACGCCTTCCCTTTTAAGGCCTGCCTCTGCAGGCGGGACTCAGGTGGAGTGTGAACTTCAGGTGTGCAAGGGCTGTGGTCACCAGCGCTGCAAGGAAAAAGCTAGAAAGGAAACTAAAAGCAAAAGCAAGATGTATATGAGATAGATTTAGACAGGGAGGCCTTGTGAGTCAAGGCTAGCCCAGACCACACAGTGTGAACTGTGTGGCAAGATCCTGTTTCAAGTAAAAACAAGTCTTTTTTTTTTTTTGGTAAACTGCCTTTTAGTGCGTGTAGAATTCCCATGACACTCTGAAATTATGGATACATGAACATGTTTCTACTCTCTTCATATATGTGAGTTTCTACTTTCTTCATATATGAAACATTGCACATTTCAAAATTTAGTCAAAGCAGTGTTTATGTATACAAAGAAGAATGACTGAAAATTAATTACTTAAACCTTAACCTTTAAGTACTGGAGAAAGTAAATTAATCCTTTTTTTAAAATTGTTGTTGGTTTTTTGTTTTGTTTTGTTAATGGCAGGGTTTCTCTGTGTAGCCCTAACTGTGTTGGAATTCACTCTGTAGACCAGGGTGGCCTTGGGCTCACAGAGATCCGCCTGCCCCTGCCTCCCAAGTGCTGAGCTTAAAGGCGTGCACCACCAAGCCAGGCTTCCGGCTTGGTGAAAGAGAATGGATTTGGCCTGCTCTATTAAAGTTGACAGCATGTATACGGGCTGAAGTGGTGGTTAGCATATACCCTGTCGTTTCTAGTTCCGAGACCATTGCATGTGTGAATCAGACTATAGACTACTTTATAATAGCAGAAGCTAAGACAGAAAGAGTCCTTAGAGGCCAGTGAATTGCGGTCATTTGTACAGTATAATGCTATATAGACAGAGGGGACGTGTCGCTAGTGAGTTATGGGAGAATGCAGATGAGCAGTTCTCCTTATATGGGCTCAAAGCACGGTCTCTTAGAACGAGTGTGGTCTTTGAGGTCTGAGAGCCAAAAGCTAAGTGTGAGTCAGTTTCTGTTTCCTCCGTAGCCCCGAGGGCTCAAGAGTAGCCATGGGTGGAGGTGGAAAGTCACTTGGAGCATCTGGTTCTGTGGGAGATGAGGAACAGGGACAGATTCTATAAGCAAGGCCAAGCCGCTTCACCCGCCGTCTTAAGATCATCCAGCAGGGCTTCCTGATTGACAGACCCTCCGCCAAAGCTTGTGTGAACCACAAGTTACTCACACGAGTTGTGGGTCGTAGGGGGGGCGTGTCTCAGTCGGTAATGTGCTTGCTTGGCAAGTGTGAGGACCCGAGTTTGGACCCCAGCATCTGTGTAACAAGCTGCACATGGGGCTGAGTGTCTGCAGTCCCAGGGGTAGAGAAATGGAGACAGGAGGGTCCCTGGGGACTAACAGGGAGCTCCAGGTTCAATGAGAGACCTATTTTGTTAATAAGAATAGTAGATAATTAAAATAATAAGCTTGAGGGCAATTAAGGAGGATATCAACCTTTGGCTTCTATGTGAAGGTGCACACATGCACATATTTTTACACACACACACTCAAGTCAGAATGCAAACCCTGCCTATCAACTGAAGCTCCAGCAGGGAAGCAGGGCAGAGAAACCATGCATGTGGCATTGTAATACCCCGAACTCTCTCTCTACCCCCGTCTACCCCATGTTGAGTTCTCCGTTTGTTTTCCTACCTCTGTCCACTAGGTATGTCAAGACCTACCTGCTGCCTGACAGGTCCTCCCAGGGAAAACGCAAGACGCAAGTCCAAAAGAACACTCTGGACCCCACTTTCGAGGAAACCTTGAAGGTAACTTGCTGGCAGACGTTGCCGGGTCCTCCCCATCCCAGGCTGGGTCTAGGGTCAGAGGTCAGCGTGCCTGTCTGAAACTCTTGAGTCAGTTAAATGTAAATGCAGACACCTCACATTTTTCGTGGCTCTGCCAGACTCGGACACAGCTTGAGATTAATGGTTTCCAAGAAGAAGCATGTCTCAAGCTAACAACTTGAACCTCAGAGAAATGTTGTCCAGCAGAGGGCCCTGGGAACGAAGCTGCTGGGTTTTACTCTCCGCAGAAGCGCCTCTTTATTGGAACAGATGAAAACCATGAGTTTCTTCTTTTTATGGAAAAAAAAAAGTCATTTTTATAAAAACCAAATCATAGGACCTGGGAGATGGCAGTAGGTAAAGACTTCAGAACCCACATAAAGCTAGACTCCCGGTGTCCCACAGCGAGATGGGAGGCGGGGACAGTGGCGGAACACCTGGCGGACACAGTGGTGACATGAGGTAGACCGTTCTCTACCCTCCATGCAAGTGCCAGTTTTCACCTGCACTTACTCATGTGCAGATGCACTGTCTACACATCCACCCTGCAGTCCACTATACACACCGGTCATGCACACGGCATATACACACCACATACACATCACATACATACACATCACATACATACCTGTCATACACATCACATACACACCCGTCATATACATCACATACACCCGTCATACACATCACATACACACCCATCATACACACCCATCATACACATCCATCATACACATCCATTATACACATGGCACATACACACCCGTCATACACATCACATACACCCGTCATACACATCACATACACACCCGTCATACACATCACATACACCCCTGTCATATACATCACATACACACCCATCATACACACCCATCATACACATCACATACATACACATCACATACATACACATCACATACATACACATCACATACACACCCATCATACACATCCATTATACACATGGCACATACACACCCATCATACACATCACATACATACCCGTCATACACATCACATACACCCGTCATACACATCACATACACCCGTCATACACATCACATACACCCCTGTCATACACATCCATTATACACACGGCATATACACACCCATCATATACATCCATTATACACACCCATCATACACATCCATTACACACCGTCATGCACATCACATGCACATCCATTATACACACCTGTCATATGCATCCATTATACACATGGCATATACACACCCATCATACACATCACACACGCACACCCGCCATGCACACATCACACACACACCCGCCTTGCACACATCACACACACACCCGCCATGCACACATCACACACACACCCGCCATGCACACATCACACACACACCCGCCATGCACACATCACACACACCCGCCTTGCACGCATCACACACACACCCGCCATGCACACATCACATACACACCTGCCATGCACACATCACATACACACCTGCCATGCACACATAGTATACACAGCCATTATGTACACATCATATACATACCCATCCTGCACAGCCGTCATACACATCATATCCACACCCTTCATGCACATATCACACACACACAAAGACCAAAGAATTATAAAGGAATCATTTGAATCTTCATTTTCTGTACTACTTAGACACAGGATTTTCTTTCGAGCAGAGCCAGGCCCTCATAATTTCATGTGAGGTGGAGGAAGTCCCAGCTGGGGCCATGGCTGCTCCAGCCAGATGGGCTGCCTAGACCTGTGGAAACCCCAGCCAGAGCTGGCAGCTCAGATGCCCTGCTGTCTGGCACAAGGGCTCTGTCTGCCTTTCTTGGCAAGTTGTCGCAGTCAGGGCCCATGAGGGGGCTGGCATAGCGCCTTGAATTCATTAAATAATAATAATAATAGGCATTGTTCCCTGGGCCTCTGCTCTGGCCAAATGCTTCATGTACACACTAAGGATGGTATTAAACTCTGCATCTGCCAATGGGAAATTAGTCTTAGGGAGTTCAAGAAGCTTAGCCTGGACTCACAATGGAGAGGCTGTCCTGGAAAGTTCATGGGGGTGGGAATCCCCTGTTCTGCTTTTAAACTGCAGACTCTGACTCAGCAGGTATGGGCAGGGCCCAAGATGCTCTGTTCCCACAAACTCCACTCTGCTGGCCACCCACATGTGAGCCACCGCAGCCAGACCTGCAGGTGGCTTGCTTGCTGGGAGACGTTTGAAAATTATCTGCCACCTGGCACCTTTTAGGTTGATTTTTGAAATATTCATCATAAGTCTAATACGATATTTTATGTAATACTGAAGAGGCCCAAGAAATGAGGTGTGAACGATTTTACATAAGTATTTAATTATGTAGTTAAAATTTAAAAAGTCTTATTTGCCTTACTTAAATTACAGTCCAGATCTCAAAGAAATCACAATTACAGTCCGTTAGGTATGCTTAAGGTCCTAGGGATTTTATTTTTTAGATCTATTTGAACGAATAATGCCTTCATTTTATAACTTCTAACATAGGCCAAACTTATTCCTGAAGAAACTCGTGCAGCCAGGCATGATGGCGCACGCCTTTAATCCCAGTACTAGGGAGACAGATACAGGTGGATCTCTTGTGAGTTCAAGGCCAGCCTGGTCTACATTGTGAGTTCCAGGTCAATTTTTGGAAAGCTGTGGTAGGAGCTCGCACTTCCTTTACGTCTGCGTTTGGTACCCAGGAGGTCTGTAAAAGCCAAGGGCAGATGCTGTGAGAAGCATCTCTGGCTGGCTCTGAGGAAAGAATGTGGGTCGATTTCATCAGGGTGAATGTTGACAGCCATTCCACCTGATTACACTTGTCAGAAGTGTGTGTGTGTGAAAGTTGAGGCTTGGGCTAGAGAGGTGGCTCCACTGGTAAGGTACCTGCCACATAACTGTGAGGACCCCAGTACCCATGTAAAAAGACAGTTGTGACACATGTATGTGACCCCAGTGCTCAGGAATAGAAACAGGAAGATCCCTGGAACTCATTGGTCAGCCAGCCTAGCCAATCAGCTTTAGGCTCAGCCGAGGGAATCCTGTCTCAAAAAAGAGAGAGCGATTGAGGACACAGAGACAGAGCGCGCTCAGGGCTGGGTACGTGGGTGGCCCAACACTGCCCATGACTTCAAGCCTGAGGGGGCACACCCACCTTCCGGGTGACTCATAGCCTTGCCCTCCCCTGCACTTGTGGCGGCCAAAGATGCCCAGTACAAGCTGAGGGCGCAGCTGCTTGCACTTTGCATCCACTATCAAACAAGTGCAGGGTGCAGAGGAAAGTCTGGGCTCCCAGGGGCCGAGCTGGGGTGTCCCATGTGTCTCCTATGCTCCTGATCCCCGTTCCCACGTTCCACCCACATGCATTTGCTGTCAAAGGCGAACACACTGCTGTGGGATCCTGCACTTGGCATTCATGCATGGTTTACTTATTTTTCCGTGGTACGGGGGATGGGCCCAGGACTCGATGCGTGTCAAATACATCTTTGAGGCCCAGCGATGGTCACACTACATTGTGTGAAAAATGTGGTTTTAGTATTTTGGGCTTGTTGCAGTGTGACCCTGTGAAGGAGGGTGCATCTTATGCTGACAAGGTTCTAGGTTTGGTTCCCTGGAGTCCTGGGCTAGGCAAGGACTTTCATCCAAGAAACAGGGCAGGGTGTCGGGTGGGAATAGGGGCAGGCGGGGACGGGAGCTGGGCTGTGGAGTGCTCAAGGCCTCTGTCCAGCAGGCAGAGGTCTGGCGTGGCCCTCCCTGAGCACACCTGGACTCTGGCCTGTGCAGGCCTCGAGGGTGGCTCTCGGAGACCTGGCTGACACCCTTGTCCTTGCATCTGCAGTATCAGATAGACCTTGCCCAGCTGATGACCCGGAGGCTGCAGGTCTCTGTGTGGCACCTAGGCACCCTTGCCCGGAGGGTGTTCCTCGGAGAAGTGACCCTTCCTCTGGCTGCATGGGACTTTGAGGACAGCTCGACACAGAATGCCAAATGGTACCCACTTCGGGCAAAGGTGTGTCATTGGGGGGCTGTATTTGGTTCTTTTCTGTTGCTGTGTGTAAGATACCATGACCAGAAGCCAATTTCAGAGGATATGTTTCGGCTAATGGTTCCAGACAGATAAAGTCCATCATGGCTGGCAGGCTTCTTAGAGATCACAGCTGGAGGGCAAGCTGGAAGCAGAAAGGGCAAACTAGATGGGGCATGGGGTTCTAAGCTCTCAAAGCCCACCCCCCAGTGACACACTTCCTCAAGCGAGGCCCCGCATCCCCAAAGCTCTGCAGCCGCCCCCAAACAGCATCACCCAATGGGGACCAAGTGTTGAGTGACATTTTCATTCAAACTACACAGGGGCTGAGAGAGCCCAGTCACCACGGACTCAATTTTCAAAGGATCACATACACACACACACACACAACTACATACACCACACACACCACACACACTACATACACCACACACCGCACACACACTACATACACCACACACACCACACACACTATACACCACACACACCACACACACTACACACACTACACACACACACACACACACACAACTACATACACCACACACTAGCAGCATGACGATGGCTGGCACATCTCTGGCTGGCAACCATGGGTAACCCACCCAGCCTCCTTTGGCAAATGGGCTAGCAGCAAAGTGCCAAGCTAAAGTCATCCCTCCAGATGCCAGCTAAGAGTAGCACCCTGTCACTGAATGGGGGATGAATTTCTACAGGCTGTCATGGGACTCTGGCACCAGGCTACTCTGGGGCTGGGACTTGCTACCTGGACCTTGAGTGCCCCTGTCTCAGTTGGCACTGCAGGACCCGTTTGAATGGCTCAGTGCAGGTGGTGGCTGGCCCAAGCAGCCTTCCAGGCATCCCAGATACCGTGAGGGCACCTTGCCACGTCAGTGGCAGCAGCCATGACCTCCCCTCCCAGTACACTTTTCCACCCTGGAAGGAAAGGCTGCCACACTCAGGGTCATCTGCTCTCCGGCTTTTTTCATTCACTTTCCGACACACTCACTCATGACCAGAGAAGCCGCTTCTGAATGGTGACTCTGCAGAGGCTAGACACCCATGGCCAACAGCGCTATGGTGTACAGCTCTGGCCCAGTCTGCAACCCTTTCCGCCCTCAGTGCCTGAAGGAGGCATTGGGATGGAAGGGTAGCTCCAATCCCTCCTGACCCAGAGAGAGCCCGGGATGGGGCTGGATCTTGGCTTTTCGAGCCCTGTGCTGTGCAGGCTTCCCTGAGGCCCTGTATTCCCAATGGCTTCTGGTGTTGTAAGGTAGGGTGGGCCAAGGGTGGCAGGGATGACTCAGGGCTGACTAGTACACCAGGCACACCCATCCCATCCCTGGGCCTTGAGACGGTCTGTGGGGGTGGGGTGGGGCATTTATGGACTGGGTTGGGACAACCTGTACAGCACAGGTGGTTTTTGAGGTTCAGGGGAAAGGTTCTGCTTCTGAGCTCTGCCTCTCACCCTCAGGCTGAGAAATATGAAGATAATATCCATCAGAATAATGGAGAACTTGCCGTCCGAGCCAAACTGGTCCTCCCTGCAGGGCCAAGAAAGCTCCAGGAGGCCCAAGAAGGTTAGTGACCTTTGGCCCCAGGATGATTTGTGTCACTGTCCCCAAAGCCCAGAGGGCAGGTGGTTCCAGGTAGGCAAAGGACTTCCCACTGCCGCTGACCCCACACATTCCAGTCCCTGGAATTTGTGACTTGAGGGGACATGGGTGACAAGAAGAGGCAAGGCCTCCAGGGCACTTTTTCCCCGCCCAAAGGCCAGTCTCCGGTGGCCCCGCGTTGACAAGCGGGACGCTGTATCAGCACACATGCAGAGCTCAGGAACAAGGAGTTTGCTAGGGCCGGGAGCTGGGAGGCTGGGAGAGGTCAGGGTGGAGTGGGTCAAGGGCAGGACCTCAAGCTATTTAACTTAGATAATGCGGACATGCGGACAGAGGACACAGGAGGGCACTGGAAGGACGCAATGACAAAGGGTCGTTCAGCGACTTTGCAGGAACAGGAGCTCCCAGGCCCACAGCATGCACCTGCCAGAGGCCACCAGAGCCTCCCTGGAAGCATACGGCACCCCCTTCTCAAACCACGAGCTAAAAGTGGCTTCCACGGCCTTTCTCCTTGTGGTTCCCCGGGTCCTCTGTGTAAGTGCCACCACCTTCCTGGCATTTTACTGGTCCTTCCATTCCGTCTGCATGCTGGCTAGAGGCGGAGTGGGGCAAAGCCACTGAAGGTGTGCCTCCTCCTCCTGCTCTCTTAGGCCTGGAGGCTGAGCGCCCTCTCAGGGAGCTACCTCTTTCTGGGTGTTGACAGTTACACATCAGGAAAAATGTGCTTAACCCAGCCGAGCGGTGGCACACACCTTTAATGCCAGCCAGCACTCAGGAGGCAGAGGCAGAAGCAGGTGGACCTCAGTGAGTTTGAGGGCATCCTGTTCTACAGAGTGAGTTCCAGGCCAGCCAGGTCTACACTGCTCAAAGAACCAAAAAACAAAACAAAACAAAAAAAGCTTAACCCAAGTTCTGACTTTCCTTCCAGGGACAGGAGGTCAGTTGCCGCTGAATGGTCAACTTTGTTTGGTTGTGCTGGGAGCCAAGAATTTACCCGTGCGTTCAGATGGCACCTTAAACTCATTCGTTAAGGGGTAGGTATTAGATGTGTCTGTGAGCATATATTGAGCATGGTTCAAAATCTGCAGGAAACACCAAAAAGTGTAGCCCATTTGAATTTATCTTACTTGAGCTTTCCTATGAAAACCTAAGATCGGGCGGGTGAGGTGGCTCGGGGAATAAAGGCACTTGCCAGGCCTGGCCTGCCCCCTGGGACCAGCCACACACTTGAAGGATAACCAACTTCTGCAAGCTGTTCTGTGTCCAACACACGTGTGGCATGCACACTCGTTCTTAGATGTGTGCACATGGAAAAATCACATTTCCAAGGACCAAGAATTCCAAGAAAATGAGGTTTGGTTATGCAAGGCTTGGGCTGGGATTAGGGCATTTTAAACAGAGGTCAGGACCTTGTCAGGCCCTGATAGACTAGACCAGTGATCCCAGCACTCGGGAGGCAGAGCCAGGCGGATCTCTGTGAGTTCGAGGCCAGCCTGGTCTGTTGTAAGAGCGAGTTCCAGGACAGGCTCCAAGGCTACAGAGAAACCCTGTCTCGAAAAACCAAAAAACAAACAAAAAAGCAAGCCAGGCCAGTTAGCATTTCCTCAGCTCACCACCTCCTCTTGCATTAAACACCATGCCACTAATAATTAAAAAGGCACAAACCAGTCACTGACGCATGGAAAAATGGTGGCTTGTTGGGACAGAACCCCTCACTACTACCGTGTATGCTCTCTAGGGCAAGTTGGCTTTTTTGAATGTACTTTTCTGAAAATGAAACAAACAAAATGAAGCCATGTATATGCGGAGCCCTGGTCCCTAGTCTCTGGTTTTAATGATGGTGTAGTCATGGGAGATCACATGAGTCACATGACACAGAATCACAACTGACCAGGTACCTGATGTGGGCTCTAGCTCTGAAAGGAAACGGGAACACTCTAGGGAGAGGCACATGGACAAGCCTCGAGATTCTGATCCCGTTCAGCATGAAATGGACGCAGCTGCCAGAACCGACCGGTACCTGTGGGGAAGGGGGCTGCGTGCTGGGCTGTGGCCTCAAGGTTCCTATCTCCCCCTTCAGCTGTCTGACTCTGCCAGACCAGCAAAAACTGCATGTGAGGTCCCCAGTACTGAAGGAGCAGGCTTGTCCCCAATGGAAACACTCCTTCGTGTTCAATGGTGTAAGCAGCTCTCAGCTGAGGCAGTCCTGCTTGGAGCTGACCGTCTGGGACCAGGCCATCTTTGGTATGAACGACCGCCTGCTTGGGGGAGCCAGGCTTGGTTCAAGTAAGTCTGTTCGCTGTATGTCTCCCAGGGTTTACCAGTGGGAAAAAACCCCACAGGTTTATTATGTCCTTAGTGATTGCCCTACGTAGATACCGTGGAAACGATTCAGCTGGCTTTGAAAGTGCCCTGTCCCTTCCTGGTGGGAATTCCCAAGGCCAGGTTTAACTACAAGAGACGATAATACGGCCAAATATCTCAGCAATCTAAATCAGATTTGAATCAGCTAGAGCAACGAAAGCTTCAGGGTTCACAACAGGCGAGGGGCAGTGTTTACTTTTCTTCAATCAGAAGAGGATTATTTTCTTAAGGAAAATATCTTACCCCAGACAAACATACATCTGTAAGAGCGTCAGTAGGGGACAGACAAGGGCACCATTCGGTGTAGCTCACCAGAGGCTGCTGGCACTGTAGGGACAGCCTCCTCCTGGGAGTGGGGCAGGCTCTGTGCTCCATCTAAGAAGACCTCCCAGTCACCTGTAGCATCTCTCCATGAGACCGCCAGCTAAGAGTTACCAAACAAGACTTAGAGTTGCATTCCTGAGAATGCACTTGTTAGCAAACCCTTCCTCTGAGAAATCCTTTCCATTAAAAAAAAAAAAGGGTCCCCCCCCCCCCAGACAACCTTCAGCCTCAGAATTAAGTTCCATGACTCCCACTGTTAAGACCTGGATGCCTGGAGCCCACCCCACCCCTGCTTAGAGCAGTGGCTCTCAACCTTCCTAATGCTGTGACCCAAACATAAAATTGTTCTCCGTCACTGTTATGAACCCTAAGTATTGTTTTCTGATGGTCTTTTGGGTGACCCCCAAAGGGTCACAATCCACAGGCTGAGAACTGCTGCTCTGAGAGTGAAATGCTAGGCTTTGGGGCGTCATTCTGAGGGACACCTCAGCACAGGGCTGGGGTGCCTCCCAAGTTGAGAGAACAGGCCGCAGAGGGCAAAGTGGCAGGTCCTTACCCACCACCATCTCATTGCAGGGGGAGGCGCTGCAGGCTGTGCGGACTCATGTTCCCAGTCCAAGCTCCAGTGGCAGAAAGTCTTGTCCAGTCCCAACCTATGGACAGACATGACCCTCATCCTGCACTGAGATGAAGCCCAAGGCGAACGCCTATTCGCAGAGGTAACAGGATGTGAGATCGTCACAGAATCAGAGCCACCTGCTCACCAGTATAACCAGATGCAGAACAATCACTGCTACGAGGCAGTCGGGGGGAGGTCCGGAGTGGAGTGGCCTGATTGCAATAAATGCTCAACAGGGGCATTTATTGATAACAAAAGTGCTAAGCTTTGTGTGTGTTCACAGTATGGTGAGAGTCGCTCGCCTTGTCTCCGGGGTGGGAAGCCTCCCAGGGAAGGAGGGCCTGGGGAGACGTGGCTCCGGCTCAGAGTGCTGGGCATGTCCCAGAAGTGCCCCATGCAAGCACACAAGGCCTCGGTGCGGTGAGTTCAAAACTGAAGAGGGCATGTGGCACAAGGCAGACACACCGAGAACAGGTAGAACAGGGTGCACGATAGACAGCCCAGAGTCCCCCGAGGGCCAGAGTGTGAAGACTCTTACATGCACCAAACCCACTGACATGTACAGACGTGATGACTGTGGTGGTCAGGTCCCACCTGCTCCCACGTCAGATCAAGGGCCTCGATTACATGGTTCTTCATATTCTTTTATTCTGTAAAAGGTAACAAAATATACAGAACAAAACTTTCCCTTTTTAAAACTAATGTTACAAACCCATATTATCACTTATATAAATACTATTCTCTCTAGCAGATCATTAGGTATAAAGTCCAACAATGTATGGATGCTACCAGTAAGCATGAAAAAGTTTTGTAGCGGAGGGTCCTGTACCGTACACTCTGAAGGCCCACCGTGGCCTCTGCCAGCGGGGTGGAGGAAGAAAACGGTGTGGGAGCGTGCTGTGGACTCAAATTTCAAAGAATCATTTATTTTCACCCCTCGAAACACGGAGATGGATCCTTCATAGAAATCAAGAACAAAATCGATTTGAGCTCATTTCAAAACTAGAGAAAAGTATGGCACCCATGTGTAAGCCACAGTGTGTGGTCCCTAGTGATAATGAACATGAATGAACTTTGTATCACACGGGCCAGCCTGAAGTTTTAGACTTAGAGGCATGCGAATCCACTGCAATCCTGTAACTTGTCATAAAAATCTGGCCTGTTTGGCACTATGATACCATTGGAAGGAACCGGGGGGCTCCCACTGGGGCCTGGTGCGGAGCAGTTCTGGCCCGTAACTGCTCTTTAAGGGGCTGGACCTGTCAGGGGGTTTCTAGACTTAAGAGTACTGAAGAGCCGAGCGAGATGCGCCCTGTGGTGAGGTGCCCTCCGCCGGGCCGCGCTCTGCCCTTTACATGGCCTCGAACTCGTCGATCCGCTGCTTGGTGTTGCCCTGCCTGATCTGCCGCAGCGTCTTGTACTTGTCCCGACCTTGCCGCATGTTCTCGTTGTGGATGATGTCGTTGTGGGTCCTCTTATTCTCATCCCGGGCCTGGGACAACTCGTTGCTCAGAGTCTGCGACAGGAAGCAAGTATCCGTTACCTCCCTGCCTCCCCTGTGTGTAGTCATGGAGTGGCTAGGAGACGAGACTATGGACGGGTAGGGGGGAGTCCCGGGGCTGCGGTTCTGCGTCCGTCTGTCTGTCTGCAGACACGGGGCCTGAGCCCCTCACCCACTCACCAGCAGCTGCCGCTGCACGCGCTCATTCTTCTCGGCCTCGGTGATCCGCTTCTCCTCGTTGCGGTCATCCAGGATGCCCTCGCTGGAGAACTCGGCGCTGTAGCCCATGGGCTCCGCACCCTCGTCCTGTAGCCCTTCCTGTACGTGGTAATTCACCGGCTCGTACACTGGGGGTGGCGGAGGAGGGGGAGCTGTCATCACCAGGTGTAGCTCCTCCTTGGTCTTCACCAGGTCGTCCTGGGCTTCTTTGGCCTTTGGGGAGGAGAACACTGGTCAACGGACAACGCTTTCCCACAGCCTGCCTTGCATGAAGGGGCATGGTTTGCCTCTCCTTGGCTGTCATCAGCAATGGCGTCACACCTGTCCAGACCCTCCACGCTTTAAAGTAGGCTCATTGGCTATGTTCTCCAGCTACGGAAGTACCCCTACTTGGGAGTGTGTGTGCGCGTGTGTCCCACTCTGAGTGTTCTCGTCCACCTTCACACTCTTCTCCTCATCTGTCTTAGAAATGGGTGGGGGAGTGTGTAAGATCTGGATGGAGATACAGGCCCTGAGCAGCCCCAGAAAAGGGGCCCTAGAAGCAGCACACGTGGAAAGGGGCCGAGTCCATGGTAAGCACCACATCCAGATCCTCTCATGCCCTGGGCATGGGAGATACAGCTAGAGCTGACTGACACAAGGCAGAACCCCACACTGACGCTACCCCAATCGGAGGAAGCAGGCTCAAAGATGAGCCTGAGTCACAGTCTGTCCCAGCAGTCTGGAGACCACCAAGGGTCTTCCATGTACTCCACCTGTCCCACCCTGGGTACCCAAGCAGTTAGAATCAAAACTAGTTCCCGACCAGGGGTGTCTGATCACGGCTGAGGAGCGTGGGAAGTGGGGACAGAGCGGGGGACGGGAATAAATAGGCCTTTGTTCCCCTGCTAATCCAACACCAGCTTGCTGCTCTACCTCTCAACAGGGTCAAGGCCACTCACTCCTTGGGGGATTTCTGTGTCATTAACAGAGAAGGCGCCTGCAAAGGATTCTGAGAGGTTCTAGAAGCTTGTGATGGGACCTGCAGCTGAGCCCGAGCCCTTTGCAGTGCTCCTGGCCCAGACGTGCCCCGCAGGTGTGGGGGGAGGGGGGGGAGGACTCACCCGGTGCTGCCACTCCTCCACCTCGTCCTCCTTGCGTCTCCGCGCCTCCTCCAGCAGCGCGATCTTGGCGGTGTACTCTGCCAGCTCTGCGGCCTGGAAGGGAGGGCAAAGTGGGCTCTGGAACCCTTGTGGCAGAGCCCATTGGTGGAAAACACTCACCCCCGAGAATGAAGGGCCTCCCTTCCTTCCTCACGGGCAGGGGACACTCGTCTGTAGCTCCCTGTGTCTCTGTGGGACTCTGGGGAGTCACACCCACCTCCCTGCAGCAGCTCTGCTTCCAGCCCTAGCCGAGAGCTTCGCAAGGCAGGTGTCTGAGTCCCCAGGACCAGCCTCTCCATAATTCAGCATCCTGAAACCAGGCATCCTACCAGCTGCTCCTGGCTCTTTATCTGATCCTGTGCCTGTCTCTCCAGTTCCTCCTTGGCTCGCAGGGCAGCCACACGGTCCGCCTCCAGGCGCTCGGCCTCCTTCTGGGCTCGCTTCCTCTCTTCCTCCAGCTGGAGGGCCTTCTCAATCTGCTCTGAGAGCTCTGCAGAGAACATGGGGTTATGGCTGCTCAGACCCCCGGCCGGAAATGAGTCTCGGCCTTCCTCCCCCACCACGAGCGGGCTGAAGGAGACCGGGTGAACAAACACCCATCCCAGAATCACAAAGCTGTAGACGGAGTCCCGGCTGCTGTTTCTAGGGTGACTTAAGTGTGTGGAGGCCACGCAGCAGCTCCTGGGCTGATGACAACCCTGTGGCACCATATTCCACGGTACACCTTTATCTGTCCCTCATCACCTGGACAGATCTGGACACAGAAATAAACGGCCTGCTGGTGTCTTTCAGGCTCCAGTAAATAGTTTCTCCCTCTATTCTCAGTGGGCAGGGCTGCTCTTTTGACCCGGAAATGTACGATGGAGGCGTGCCCCGCACCTCCGGCCCTCACTAGAGTCTGGCTGCAGGCTGACGCTCAACAGCCTCAGGAAAGTAGTGGAGAATTAAATGGGACAGGCATGGCATTGCCACCTATTTCAGCGGGTTATGTTCAACAGAGACAGCACCCTTGAACAGGTCCCCTGTTGGCTGTGGGGAGGGGTGGGCGGCCTGAGCTCCTGACCTTTCTCGGCCCGCTTGGTCTTCTGCTCATAGTCCTGCAGGCGGAGCACCAGCTCCTCCTTCTCCCGCAGCATCTGCTCCTTCTCCCGCTCCACAGTCTCTCTCCTCTTCTTCTCTGTCTCCAGCTGCTGTCTGGTAGAGGGAAGAGGAAGGGGCCATGAAGGCAGGCGCTGCTGCTGGCCTGCTACGCCTCTGTTCTCTTGGGAGCCTGGGGACAGTCTCTGCCCCATCCTGGCTGATGTGATGTTGTGATGTTGTGTCAGGCTCTTGGGACGCCCCACACCACACTCACCGCTCCAGCTGCTTCTGATGCTTCTCTTCCCGGGCTTGGGCCTTCATCTGCTGCACCTCGATGGTGTCGGGCTTCCTGCGACGCATGTACAGCTCATGGTTCCCCATGCAAAGCTGCAGGATCCGCTTGTTGATTCTCAGGCGGGGGGCATAGAATACAAAGTCCTACAGAATACAACAGGGTGGCTTGGTTGGCAGCAGACCCTTCAACAGCCTCCTTCCCAGAGACCACACTGCAGAGTTCCTGAACCACCTTCTCTAAAGGACCAAACGCCACAGAGGAGCGAGCCGCAAGTGTTCGCTCCCGGCGGCGAGCGTGTGTGTGTATGTCCACTTGCATAGTTGTGGTCTACGTGTGGTCTGCCTCGCCTGGGTGTGCAGGCACTAATCTCAGCCTATGGCGCTCTATCAAGACAAGCCTTTGCTGCCCTAAGGAAGGCAGGGAGGGTGGTTATGTACCATGCTTTATAGTGTCTGCTCTCACAGCCTGTCTCCATCCTTCCTTTCCTGGTCCTGCATGTACACGACACCTTAACCTCTGAGCTGCCTGTCACCGCTCACAGACTTTGTCACTGCCCTGATCTCTCCACTGCTCCAGACTCCTGAGCCAGGGATTTACCACAGCCTTACAGGGCCAGCCCTACTACCCATGTGAACTCCTGAACTGCGCCGTCACACCGCCTTCAAAAGCACCCTTCCTTCCACAGGGAGTGTCAACGGTCTGACCCCGTCTACCGAACGCTCCTAGCCCTGCTCCTGTGCTGTGTGCCTGCTGCATCTGGCGGAGGGGTCTGCCACTGCACACTCCACTGCCCAGTTGTGCACCTGACTCCTACTAGACAGACTACAGCTCCCTCCCAAGAGCAGGGCCTGTTCACCCATCTGTTTCCTAGGACCAAATCAACGCTCCGTAGTTACTGGTGCTCAACAAGTACTTGCTGGGTGAAAGGAAAGCCCCTTAATACACACCACCACGGCTGAGTTAGTTACTCCA